AATATCCTAACCAATGCACCAGATGAGCATATAAAATATAATGGAACTACTTTTATTATACTTTCTCATTATGGTTTGATCCCTATATTGGATCCAGTAGGCTGAATTCATTCACAGGCATATTTAAATTGTCACTCTTGGTAATATAGGATCGCGAGCAGCCTTAAACCTGTGACCAGACCTTCCACTGAAATATCAGGAGTGTCTCTGAAAAAAGGTCATATGCCAGTATACAATTATATAAACTGGTGTAATCTGTGTCAAAGATAAACATGTAGTTGTCACAGTCACATTTCAGCTGTGTTCTAATGGCCTGCTTCTATTCATCCCTATAGTCCGTTTGGCTCAAAAGCGGACCGATGAATTGCAATCTAACTCGAAAACTAATAAACATATAATACTCAATGAAACGCTGATCATAATCAAAACATCACACCAACTCTGTGATTTGTTTGCAGAATTTATGTCCTAAAATTAAAAAAGTTGTTTAACAAACTATCATTAAAATATTGACACAGGTCACTATGTGTTACGAGGGAGGAGTGCAGAGAAAGGGACAGCCAGGTGTTAGAGAAGCACGTGCACAAGTGCCGACAAAGTTATTGATTCATTAACCTGTGCTGTGCCGTCTCCATCCTTTCTCGCACACCTGGCTGTCCCTTTCTCTGCACTGCTCCCTCGTAACAAATAGTGAACTGTGTCAATATTTTAATGATAGTTTGTTAAACAACTTTTTTAATTTTAGGACATAAATTCTGCAAAAACCTAACAGAGTAGGTCTGACGTTTTCATTATGATCAGTGTTTCATTGAGTATTTTATGGTTATTAGTTTTCGAGTTAGATTGCAATTCATCGGTCCGCTTTTGAGCCAAACGGACTATAACTGATGTGTAGAGTATGGGTAAAAGCTGAGCCAGTGGGTCAACATGGTGATGGGTTGGTTAAACAAATCACTGAAGGGTTGGTTGGTTGGTTAACGCTGGTACTTGTTGGTCCCTGCCTGGCGCTCGGCATTAATGGGTACAACAAGGACTGGTCGGCTCGGAGTCAGTATAAACTACCTGAGTGGGGTATTCATGCTTCACTGCGGCATGGTATCTCAGTGGGCTAGCACTATAAAACCAGCTTAAGTCTGGGCTAGTTCAAGCAACCACACATACACATGCATGCATTTTCGCCATCTGAGCAAATTATTCTTAAGTGTTACGTTAAACCCCATTTTACCTTCACCTCGTATCCAAATTGCGTAGATTCGATGCTGATGCTGTTGACCACTGGATCGTCAGGTCAAGACTCCATTATTTACACATCACTACTATATAGCTGTAATATGGCTGAGTGCAGCGGTAAACAACAAACAACAACAAATCAACAATCATTACATTTACTTCCTCGACTCCCTTGATGTACACATGACACACAACTTTCCCCGGGAATCAAAACATGAAGTGAAACCTCTGCAACATTCACCCTTGCCTTTTTAAAAAGTGGGCCCATGACCCACCTGTCCTCAGTTGTGTGGGCCAATGAGAAAATATTGCAGCTCACGTCAAAATGCTGTGACTTGTTGGCCATACATAACTTAGTGGTTAGATATGAGTTCGCTGACTTCTTGCAACTTCCAAAACAGCTATGGTCAGTAATTTGAAGAAGAGAAACTGAATCAAGTGGAACATATCACTTGATGGCACATAGATGAACAAACAGTTAGTGGTGGTCCGATTAATTGAAATAATCGAAGATTGCTCGCAGTGACTAAACGACCAAGCAATTGATCATGTTTTCTCATAATCGAACACAAACAATTCTAGTACACTTGTTTTCATTAACACTATTTTTCACTAGGTTGGTTTTGTCTGTTACATTTCATAAGCACTACAAGCTCGTTCCAAGTCATGAATTTATCTTAAAGACTCTAAGAAATTTATGTTCCTCCATACTAGTCATCCTTTAAAGATGTGAAATTTTGCCAAAAAACCCCAAAAGAACTACATAAATGACGCTCACCAATTATTTTCGATGATTGATCGGTTGTAATGAACCAATCATCAATTATGCGATTTTAACCAATCCCCAGCACTACAAACAGTAGCAATCTAATATGGTTGCACTACAGGATAATTTATGGAATAATACCAACAAGTGTATTTTTATTCAAAATTGGAGTGAGTGAGTGAGTGAGTGAGTGAGTGAGTGAGTGAGTGAGTGAGTGAGTGAGTGAGTGAGTGAGTGAGTGAGTGAGTGAGTGAGTGAGTGAGTGAGTGAGTGAGTGAGTGAGTGAGTGAGTGAGTGAGTGAGTGAGTGAGTGAGGTTTTACGCCGCTTTCAGTTATAGTCCAGCAACAACACAGCGGGGGACACCAGAAATAGGCTTCACACATTGTACCCATGTGGAGAAACAAACCCGGGTCTTCGGTGTGACGAGCAAACCCTTTACCCAAAAGGGGCAAGTCCAGATTGCCTGAGTCCTGGGAAAGTAACATCTTTTCTGGACTTCTTGAGCATAATGAATGTCATATCATGCACTGTCTTTTATATATCTGTTTACAAATCTCCATAAAATGTTTTTTTTACAGAAAACACTGAAATTAAAATATATTACAATAGGTTTTACATACACAGTATTTTTCTGGATGTCCTTAGAAAATAAGTGTTGTGTTTTCACAGATTCTGTGTGGCTTCCTCTTGCACAGAATTTGATTCTTCTAAAGGCAGGGACCACAAAAATATTCATCTCCAAGAGGAATTCCAGGCTCCCAGATTATTACAAACTGGCACTCCCAAGCAGCCAAATTTACTTTCAACAGTTGCCAAAGAAATAAATTAGAGTCAACTATGTTATAAAAAAACACCACAAATTGTACCCAGCGTTCTCACTGTCAGTTCATTTTAAGTGTTTTAAACATAGTATTAAAAACTCTCTACTGCCGATTTGGTCAATTTTCACTTATATATACTGTTCATATATACATCTACCAAACGCATAGCAACTTTCCAGTTTTTGCAAGAGAAACTTAACAAATATTATCTTCTTACTAAATATTCAGCCATTTTAAGCTGCAAAATCGATAATTTTTATACATTTTGGTCATTATGTCATAATCTGTATACTTCCTAATACTGTCATTTGCATGGTGTATCTTTCATTATACCTTTGTTGAAATTTATGATCACAACTTATATGAAAATGCAACAAAAGTAATAAAAAATAAATATAATTTATTTTTTACTTTGCTGACAATCACGCCTTTGAAAAACTGTCGAACCAGATCATCAGCGAAATACTAAGTATACAGCCCACCTTAACCAGTGAGTGAGTGAGTTTAGTTCTACGCTGCTTTCAGCAATATTCCAGCAATGTCATGTTGGCAGCCACCAGAAATGGGGTTCACGTATACTACCCATGTGGGGAACACCATCTTAAAGACGGACTAAGTGCTGATATATTGTTCCAGGACATTCCAAGCCAGCTCAAATTTCATGATTGATGAACCGGTAAATTTGGCAGTGCAGAAATGTTTCAATTTCTCCTGGCAGTAATTACAGTTGTATACCCAACCTCAACTCACAAGGGCATGTGGATTTAGATAATAGCCCCTTTTAAATTTCCCCCTACCCATACAATCAGTTTACATAGCTCTAGGTTAAATGTAGGTTATATCTGTTAGCGTGCGTGAGCTGCAGAGGTGATCTCCACTGAGATGAGACAATCTTCTATCAAGGTCATCATTATCTTATCACAGTGTGGCAATTTACCATGAAAACTCTCTTATGCAAGTGCTTAGTTTCATGAATTTGTACTTAAATTCACTATTGCATCATTCAAATGAACATACTTTATTTAGAAACCTTTGAATATCTGTTTAAGCCATATATACAATGTGGACTATATTGAGAACTCTGCTCCACTAAGCCCCGCCTTCACACGGCCATGACCTACTTCTAGAATCGTTAAATAATTCCTCAGAGATAACCCAAACTAAGATAAAATGATTAAATGAAAGTCCATATTGTGCATATTACATTTTTTACAGAAAACAGTAGAAAATTATTATTGAAAAATTACAGTTTTCCCAATGTTTGAACTATGTTTCTTCACCACTTGAATTCCAAAACCAAATTCAACCATTTGTGTTTCAATAAGTACCCATCATTGTCTAATTTTGAAAAGCACAAGGTGTTAATAAGGTCAAATACTCCACATATGTCACATCCAACCCCAGCTTTACAGCAAGTCATAATTTATGGATACAATGACTTTGAATTGTCGGCTCATTGTGTTGCTTTCAACATGGTATAAGTAAGTATAGCATGCGATACTATTGTGGAACATAGTCTTAAGTACATTTCTCCCGTGCTGTCATGCATGGAATAACTTCTTTATATCCCAAATTTGCTATAAAATATGAATGGTTCAAAGGTAGATATGTTTTGATTTTACTTTTCTGCTTCCTGTACAACAGTAATGGAAAAAACCTAGTTACTTCTGCACAGAGCAAATCATTCGAAATTACTCTCCTGAAAGGAATGTTGAACTTCAGTGACACACCTGTTTAACTGATTTTTGTCTAAATCCTTACCTGATAACACTTTTCCATAACCTTTTCGATTTTGTTGATAACAATATCATTTATTATACTGAAGATTAAATAACGTACTTGAAACTGCAAATTATTGTCTGGCTAAAGCCCCACCCCTTCAACATCCGACTTGTCATTCCCTCCGCCCATCAAACACATCGTGGAACCGGTATGGGGGTTAGGGGGATATTGGGAGTTAAGGAGGGGTAGGTGGGTAGGGGTGAGACGCGACGCGACGCGACCCACCCCGTAGTAATTTCATAACACCAGGGCAGCGAAGGTTACGTGGGGACTCTCTTACCTGCTTGTTCACACGTTGGCAGTTGTGTAATGTGTTAATGTTAAGCGGGCTACCGTGCACCGCATCATGTAACATTCTGGGGTTTTCTAACGCGGAATGCAGTTTAGAAATAAACTTACCTATTTCCCAACCATTCGTGGAAGTCTATCTTGCCAGCAGTAGAGTCAACTTGGAAATTGGGGAATACATCGCCGAGGTTCACCATTTTGATCCGACAGTTCGACCGGTCTGATTGAGAAGAGCAAGTTGCCGGGTCTGATAGAGAGTGCGCAATGCGCCTAGATAGTGGAGATCTAGTTTAGAGTATGACCTGTTCGTCTTGCTCTGATTACAAAAGGATGAGTTTGCGCAGTTTTTTTTGTGGACGCCTTGATGATTTGAATTCAATACGAAGTGGGGTGCGGGTTAACGAAGTGGCATATGAGTGAACGAATGTTTAATAAATAATATGTCCATACATTTATTTTCACCTTAGTTTATTATAGACAGTGCCACTTAAGTTGTGTTCGTATAGACCGTCATGATAGTGTCTTTTCACCGAAGCGTCATAAAACATCTTCTACACTTCATTCCTGCAGATAAGCAGGCAGTCGGCTCTCAAACAATAATTATTAATTTAAATCATAATTTCAAAATTATATAAATAAAAAAGGGACTTTTTGTACTCATAACGGACTGCGTGGAGTCATTTCACTGTCATCATACCTAGCTTGTGTAAGGATTGAATAACTTTACATCCACGGACTTGTCATTCAGTGAAGCCTTGAAGCTAGGGCAATCCTACAGGAATGAGAACGAATTTTTTAGCACCGCAGTCCACAATATTCTAGTCTGCCTCTCCAGCCCTGAACCACATGTTCCCTTCCGTCCAACCCGTTCTACTATGCAAAAGCCCCACACTAATAAAGCAAGTCTTGTAACCGTTGGGTTCTGAAGCAACCTTAGTCAAGCAACATACCATCATAGCGGTACATAAAAGATTCAACCGCCTCCGTGGTGTAGTGGTTAGAGCGTCCGCCTGGAGAGCGGTAGGTCGCGGGTTCGAACCCCGGCCGCGTCATACCAAAAGACGTTAAAATATGGTACTTGTTGGTCCCTGTCTGGCGCTCGGCATTAATGGGTACAACAAGGACTGGTCGGCTCGGAGTCGGTATAATGTGTCTGAGTGGGGTATTCATGCTTCACTGCGGCTGGTATCTCAGTGAGCTAGCACTATAAAACCAGCTTAAGTCTGGGCTAGTACAAGCAGCCGCACATACACATACACACGCATGCACGTCGTCATATGAGCGAAATATTCTCAAGCACAACGTTAAACCCAATTTCACCTCACCTCACATAAAAGATTCGAGACCAACCACTGACTGAGAGCACGAACACCGATACACGTCATCTGGTAACGACAACCCGTGGGGATCCGGTTTAGCATTGGTCTTTAAGCAACCATGCTTGTCGTAAGTGGCGACTAACGGGATCGGGTGGTCAGGCTCGCTGACTCGGTTGAGTCATGTCATCGTACCCCAGTTGCGTAGATCGATGTTCAAGATGTTGATCACTGGATTGTCTGGTCCAGATTCGATTATTTACAGACCACCGCCATATAGCTGGAATAGTGCGGCGTAAATCAACAATCAATCAATCATGGTAACGACAACAGACAATTAATCAAGTCACCACGACTGGCCCCCGTTTAGTTTTAACCAACAAAACGATTTGCACAGGGGACTAAACCTACGCAGAATATTCATATTATAATGCAAGTATAATATGAATATACTGAGCAAATATAGAAACGTACTGAGTTGCACGTGTGGCCGGTATTATAATGGAGATCTCCTACAATGGTTGACATGTTTATATATATCATTTACTGTTCCAAGATTATAAATGCCTTTTTAACAGAATGTTTGAATTAGGTTAAAAGCAACTAAGTATAAATGCTAGAAATAGTCGGAGTGTTATAAAATCACCCAAAAATGTAATGAGTCCATTGTATGATTTCTACTTTAACTGAACAAAAAAAAGAGAAACTCCACACTTTGAGAAATGAATTCTATTGAAAATGGATAAAAAAGGTAGTTAATATTACCGAGTACCATTTCGGCCAGGTCTGACCTGACGCATCCGCCACGCCGTGTGCATGCAGCCAGTGGCCTAGTCTCTCGTACAGACCCTGAAGCAAATATATCCAAGAAAGCCCACACAAGTCTAGAAAATGTGGCAAGTCTACTTTTCCTCAGCTTCACCAAAACATTTGACATAGTCATAACTAACTGATATACATGAAGAGTATTTTGCCATTGCGGGGATATTGATGACTTTTTCCGCTTGTTACATTATATATATGCGACATCAATTAAACTTCCACATATAGTGCAGACACAACCTTTGGATTTTGAGAATATAAATAACTTTGGATTTTTTGGTGAGATCCAGTTGTCCATCCATAGGATTATCAAGAGATGCTACCCTTAGCTGGTATTCCTGCTTGCTCTCAAAATAGATTTGGCGACACTTGATACTCATTACCCCAAATCGGCCCACACCACTGGCAGTAGGACCAGGAGGCGGTGGGGGCAGTAAATATTCCTGTCACACACAATTAAAGCAGTAATGGGTGATAAGAATCTTTGCATATGTTGTGAAATTCAAGAAATTATCCCTCTGCAGATTTGTTTAGTCTCTGGAAAATGAAGAAAGTTTCAGGGCTCCTAGCGATTATATATATATTTTTTACTATGAACTTTTTCAGTAAAATATGTTCATTTCAGAGACTAGTTGTTAGTCTACCAGTGGCGGTGAACTACCATTTTAAAATGGCCCAGGATTACACATGATTAATGAAACGATTGATAACACGATCTAAATGTATAGCATACAACGTATCAGGGTTACGAACGAAAGAAATTGGCATCCTTATTATAATCTTGGTTTGTCAACACCACGCTCGGGTGTTTTACCATGCTGACCAGCATTCATTATTACACCTACATCACTACGGAATTTATTTACAGTCAACCGACGCTTTGCGATGTAACTAAAACAATTTTTGTTTGGTTTTGTGTTTTTGTATAATGTTTACCCAACACCCAGCAATATTTAAGATGCCGATGCCCGAAGGCGGTCTAAAACTAAAAGAGTATGGGTCAGGTGATCTGGTGATTGACATCATGAGCGTGAATCCACGTCAGTGGGATACGGTTTCATTCTGTCAACCAAGTCAACTAGCCTGATCCCACTTTCTGTTCAGTCGTCTCTTACGTCTTATTTTGTTTGTTGTTTAACGCCACATTCAGCAACATTATTGCATTATCTAAGCAGCAGTCTGTAGATAATTGAGTGTGGGCCAGAAAACCCAGTGATAAACACGTGAAAACAACCTTATAAATTACAGACCCGTGAAGATCCGGGGTAGAATAGGTCTTCAGCAACCCATGCTTGCCACATAAGGCGACTATGCTTGTCGTAAGAGGCGACTAACGGGATCGGGTGGTCAGGCTCGCTGACTTGGTTGACACATGTCATCGGTTCCCAATTGCGCAGATCGATGCTCATGCTGTTGATCACTGGATTGTCTGGTCCAGACTCGATTATTTACAGACCGCTTCCATGTAGCTGGAATATTGCTGAGTGTGGCGTAAAACTAAACTCACTCACTCACTTTAAATTACATTGTGTATTCATATCATGAGCCACGATCTATGCAACTGGGACACGATGACATGTATTGACCAACTCAGTGAGCCTGACCAACGATCCCGTTAGCCACCTCTTACGACAAGCACGGGCTGCTCAAAACCAATTCTAACCCTGATCTTCACGGTCACTCGTCTATTACAAGAAGCAGAGGAGTGAGTGAGTTTAGTTTTACGCAGCTTCAGCAATATTCCAGCAATATAACGGCGGAGGGAAACCAGATATGGGCTTCACACATTGTACCCATGTGGGGAATCGAACCTGGGTCTTCTGACGAGCGAACGCTTTAACCACTAGTCTACTCCACCGCCCACAAGCAAAGGAACCTCCAGGGCCCGATACTCATACCGGAATCCCCATGGATGGACTCTGTAACCGGAATACTGGACAAAAATAGTTATGGATATATGTAAATTCAAAAAGAATAATGAATTTAGACATTAACACACTGAAAATATCAATCATAAAAATACCAACATCCCCAACTTATTTTGTCCAGTAGACAAGGAATTCAATATTTCACACAATAGTGAGGCTTCCTGTAGGTTATGCTAGCGGACAGTTAAGCACGCATAGAGCTTCCTGGTAATTCAACTGCCTGAACTACAGCAAATTGCTTGAACACTATAAGGATGTAGGAAATGATGCGTTGCCCCTGATGGCGATTAATGTGCGTAGATGCACGGGGGAAATGTTTCGCTAAATATAGATACAATTTGTAGAATGTCACACTACAATACGTATGATTTCCGATGAACTTACGTACTCGTGACAAATGGAAAGTTAATGGGGAAATTTATTAAAGTAAAACTAGAGATCTACTAACATTGAAACTATAGAAATGTCACGACCGCTTTATTGTCTCATATTTTCGCTAGCAGTACGTTGTGTTAATCTTGCAGCCTCAATCGGACAGCAATGTTTCAGCTGTATGACCGCGGTCGGCGATGTATGTCGCCGGCCGGGCGCCAGCAGGCTAGTGGAGACATGGAACGTCATTGTCAGGATCCGATCACGCATAATCTCAGCCAGGTTAGTGAAGACAGGGGGCGGTGGGGTGCTTAAAGCGTTTGATCGTCACGCCGAAGACCCGGGTTCGATTCCCCACATGGGTAAAATGTGTGAAGCTCATTTCTCGTGTGCCCAGCCGTGATATTGCTAAAAGCGGCGTAAAACTATACTCACTCAGTGCAGACAGTAACAGTTAGTTAATAGTAAATTATGATCATCTGGGAAGAATACTTACTGACCAAGATATCATAAAACACCTTCCCCTGATCCTTGACTGGAGTTCATTTCTGGTGGTGGAATTGGGTTAAACGTCGTGCTTGAGAATATTTCGCTCATATGACGACGTGCATGCGTGTGTATGTGTATGTGTGGCTGCTTGTACTAGCCCAGACTTAAGCTGGTTTTATAGTGATAGCTCACTGAGATACCATGCCGCAGTGAAGCATGAATACCCTACTCAGACACATTATATTGACTCCAAGCCGACCAGTCCTTGTTGTACCCATTAATGCCGAGCGCCAGACAGGGACCAACAAGTACCATATTTTAACGTCTTTTGGTATGACGCGGTCGGGG